TTAGCACCTCTAGTAATATATTTACTGAGAAAAATGGTGACGTGTTCAATACTTATTTTACCTGCTGTATACAAAAATACACCTGTTGATGCAGAATGATTGTGAACTATATCACCTGCTGAGTTTTAAGCTACGTTGTTCACATTTATTAAATAGTTTAGGATAAACTCTTTTATGTTGACTCTTACCCCGTTAAACTTTAAAGGTTAATGTGCTTTTAGTCCTTTTTTTACATCGTTAAACCTCCCTCCTGTGCATTAATCTGAAAACCATCAAAGAACAAGAAGAAAGATGAATAAAAAAGCAGCCGATGCACAAAAAAGGGTTCAGAAAGCCTGAAAAGCCTTTGATCAAAGACACCTTTAAATATTACAAGAAACTGCTTTGAACCTAAATCTAAAATATTCACGTGCACATTTTAAAGCAGGTTTTCTTTAAAGGTTCCCGTAAAGTGTCAAATCAAAAAAGAAGAGTCAAACAGGGAAGTTTAAGTGATTACGCTGGTTTTTCAGATGATGCGGGTCTGCAGTCAATGTAAACAAACCCAGGAAGCTCCTCCTCCTTTTTGCGATGAGCACCTTTAAACTGCCGGTGACATGCATATTCTTCAAATACAAAAAGTCAAAGAAAACATCTTTATATTTAAGAAAGTTGGAATAAAACACACAATTTTACCCATTTTGTCACATAAATTGCATATTTTCTTTTGAACTTGGCTCAGCTGAAGTGAAACAGGAAGTGACATCAAAGGGGAACTCTAACAAAAAACTCCCTGGTTTTTGTTTATTGAAACAATATTTTAACTCTGACTCTTCATCTCTCTGACAGACTAAATAATCTTAATAAACAACAGATTGTTCTCTAGTCTGTGTTATCAGCTGTTGTAACGACGCTCTGTTTACATTCAGACACTCCCCTGTGACATCACTTCCTGTTACTTCACAGGCAAATATCTCAACAACCGTTCATGTCAGCGACATGAAATTTCTTTTGCAATATTTTATCAATGTCATCTTTCTATAAATGCTTTCATGTGTAGTACAAAAATTTAATGTCAAAGGCCCTTTAAGTAGATAAAACAAATATTACCATAAATTATGTTAACGATTCAGTTATTTCTCTTTTATGTTCTTGAAAAATGAACAGAATTAACTGAAACTTTTTCACAAAAGTGTGACACTTTAAATTATTAAACATGTTTTTTTATTATATTTTTTCCCTGACAGTGGAAGAGAAAATGTTCCAATTAAATCTCTTCACAGAGACGTCTGCCTCCATTAACTGAGCTCATGAAAAGAAAAGTTGCTGCTGAATTATTAAAGCTGATCTTTTAAAGGCTGCCGGCGCCCAAGTGTTTCCCTCCGTCCTTATTAGAGACGAACGGAACGGAACGATCCAACAGAACTAAATCATGGATCAGGTCTGAGTCTGACGGGAACTCACTTGCTGGGCCGGTGGTCCGGGATGGTCCGGTCCAGAGAGATTCGGTCACTCAGGTAGGCGTTGTAGCCGTACTTCTCCCTCAGGTATTTAGCATCGTTCTCTTCCAGGGGTAAAAGTGTGGCGGGGAGCCCACCTTTACCACGCCCCCCAAAGCCTTCGATCAGGCCCAGAGACTTGGACAGACCTGAGGGACAGGAGAGGACTTGGTCTTCAGTCTGATTTCATCTGCATTTCTGTCTACTCCTGACTTTAAACGCCCAATTTAAAGTTTGAAATTTAGGGCTTTTATTCTGAAATTGGAGATAAATTCAACCGTATATCCAAAAAAACAAAATTATGGATGCTATAAGATGAGCATAAATGTTATAAACCATTTTTTAACAATGTAAAAAAGTAACATATCAAGTGTTCCAACTAAAAAACTGGCGTTTTTAAGAGAAAATGTGAATTTGAGGCAGAAACACATCAACAAAGCTGCTTCAGAGGCAACAAAAAGCTGTTAAAAACAGAAACAGCTGCAGGAGCATTTTGTAACTAATTAGGTTAATTAGCAACAGGTCTGTAGGAATGAGTTAAAAAACATTTTAGAGGTGAAGGTGAGCAGAGGCTAACTGTGTGAAAACATGAAAACTAGTGAAACTATTTCAAAATAAAGCTCCCCAACCTAAAACTGGGAGGACCTTTAATCTCCCATCATCTCAGTCTCATCGACTGATTTTTATAATTTGTAGAAATCTCTGAACACTTCATCCTCATCTGTAAACACTGACCCATCCACTAATGCTGCTTTGACAAAAAGTCAAAGAAAACTTCACATTATTTTACCCATTAGACACATAACTGACCTGTTTTATTTTGAAATTGGCTCGGCAAAAGGGAAACAGGAAGTGACATCAAAGGGGAACTCCTTTAAGAAAAATAACTCGCTGGTCTTTGTTGTTTGAAACGTTATGATTTGAACCCTGACTCTTTTTTTTTTGTTTCTGTCTGAGAGCAAATCAAAATAATCAGAAACATCAGATTCCTCTCCACAGTCTGGGCCGTTGAGCCTTTCAGCTCTGCTCTGTTTTCGTGCAGACGTTCCCCTCTGACATCACTTCCTGTTGCTTCGCATGCGAATATCTCAACAACCGTTCATCTCAGCGGTGTGAAAATAATTTTGTAGTATGTTCTCAGTGTTATCTTTCCAAAAATGCATTTGTGTAATTACAAAAAATTTGAAGTCACAGGGACTTTAAAGCTCTATCAGGCAACCGAACACCATCCAGAACCGTGTTCTCTGAACCAAATTCAAAGTGAACGGTTCTGTGGTCAGATAAATCACAAGTTGCTACTCTGTTTTTGAAACCACGTCCTCTGTACTGAACATCCTCAGCACACTGTTCAAAAACCTGCCTCTCTGATGGTATAGGGGTGCATTAGTGGGTCTGGAATAGGCCGGTTATATGTCTATGCTTATAAAATGCAGATTTTACATCTACTCCCATCCAAGACTGCAGAGCAGGGCTATTCAACTGGTGGCCCGCGGGCCACATCTGGCCCACAAGCGACCAAAGTTTGGCCCGCCAATTGTTTCATTCATCTCTTCAGCCCAAACCCCCGGTTTTCTACTTTAATTATTATAAGTCATTTTATTTAAACATAGACATGTTTGGTATCAACAGAAACGTCAGAATCTTGGCTACAAGCTGGTAAAAAACATTTCTATGAACATCCAAGACAGTTAAAACAACAAGCAGTTGAAGATAAAACTATGAAAGTGAAAATAAAATTGGTAATTTGGCAACTCAGAGATGTCAAAAATATTATTTGTTAAATAAGAGCCATAATGTGCTACTTTTGTTTTTGACATTACAGGGTTAGGCCTACTTTATATTTGTGATTAAATGCAGCAAAAATAAACTATTTCAATGGTAACAGATTACAGAATATCCTGATGCACCTCAGTAATCCAGGTAAAAAATCAAAAAGAAAAAAATAGTATAGGTCTTCTGGACGGGTTCTTCTCTAATGAAACGTTTCGTCTCTCCTCCAAGAGACTTCTTCAGTCTGAGAGTTTCAGGCWAAATTCAGGCTTTTAAGCACTGCCTCCATGTGRCTGATACTCACATCACATGGCTATCATTGACACCTAATTAACACCTATTGTTAACAGGGGTGGAGTGATACTGGCAATAGCAGCACTGTAGGAGGGGGACAACTGAAAACGGAGGCCTCCACCTCTGTTTAATGATGGACGGTCTTTCTTCACAAAAATGGCTTCTTTTACTCCTCTCTCAAACCAACGTTCCTCTCCATCAAGAATGAGAACATCCTCATCTCTGAAAGAGTGACCGCTGGCCTGTAAATGAGTGAAAACTGCAGAGTTCTGGCCATTAGATGTAGCTCGTCTGTGTTGGGACATTCTTTTGAACAGTGGCTGCTTTGTTTCCCCGATGTATAACTGGTCGCAGTCCTCCTGGCACTTAACAGCATATACAACATTGCTCTGTTTGTGCCGGGGCACTGGATCCACCACATCGGGGAAACAAAGCAGCCACTGTTCAAAAGAATGTCCCAACACAGACGAGCTACATCTAATGGCCAGAACTCTGCAGTTTTCACTCATTTACAGGCCAGCGGTCACTCTTTCAGAGATGAGGATGTTCTCATTCTTGACAGAGAGGAACGTTGGTTTGAGAGAGGAGTAAAAGAAGCCATTTTTGTGAAGAAAGACCGTCCATCATTAAACAGAGGTGGAGGCCTCCGTTTTCAGTTGTCCCCCTCCTACAGTGCGGTTATTGCCAGTATCACTCCACCCCCTGTTAACAATAGGTATTAATTGGGTGTCAACGATAGCCATGTGATGTGAGTATCAGTCACATGGAGGCAGTGCTTAAAAGCCTGAATTTAGCCTGAAACTCTCAGACTGAAGAAGTCTCCTGGAGGAGAGAAGAAACGTTTCATTAGAGAAGAACCCGTCCAGAAGACCTATACTATTTTTTTCTTTTTGATTTTTTTATTTATTTACAGAATAACTTTAATTGCTGGATATTTGGCCCCTGAGCTGTTGGTCTGCAGTAACTTTCTGCTTTAGAACAACTAAAATCCTCCATCAGACCACAAACAATCCTTGGTGGGAAACTGGAACAACTTTAAAAAGACGTTTCTGCCATAAAATTCAAAAATACCTCCCAATAAAATCTTAGTTTCATCATTAGATATATTTACTGAGCACTGCTGCAAATAAAATATGTTTTTTTTTTTGTTCGACTTTCTCAGAATTGAGGTCAGAAACATCCAAAGTTGTAAAAGTCACGGAGGAGCTGCAGTTTACCGTTCAGCTGCCGGTACACCACATCCTCCAGGGAGCTGAGCCTCTTCAGCAGCAGCTCGTGGCTGACGCTGCCGGGCCCCTGCTGCTGCTGCTGCTGCTGCTGGGCTGTCCCGTTGGCCCGGGGCCCCCTGCCGTCCTCCGGAGCGGCGCTCTGCGCGCTGCGGCTGTTGCATTTGGCCCAAAAGGTCATGAACCCGGCCACGGCGAGCAGGTTGAGCAGCAGTAAGACCCTCCATCTTCTGAACACAAAAGCCATTAAAGAGAGAGAGGGGGGGCTTCAGGGCTCTCTCTGCAGGGATGCCTCGGCGGGTACCATCAGAAACATCTCACTGCAACCCGCTCCCTCAGCATCGCAGCCCCGGGGTGGGCTCAGGCTGCATCCCCCCGCCTCATCCGTCCTCACATCCGCGCGGAGGATGGAGACAAAGGCGCGTGTCGGAGCAGATCCTGAATTATTAAAGGCAGAGGGAAAAGTCTTCCTCACGACCGGAGAACCAGAAACCCTCCTCAGACGCAGCTCCGCAAACACCGACCTCCTCCTCCGGCCGGTACCGGCTGTCGTCGGTCAGAACCAGAGGAGGCTGCGCGGAGAGGATGGAGGAAGCTGCAGCATCTTCTCCTCTTCGGACCCAGAGAGGTCCGGAAAGCAGCAGCAGAACGAGCCTCTGTCAGCTCATCACACCGTCTTCCTGTTGTTCTGCTCGGCCCTCTTTTAATTCCTCCTCCTCCTCTGAACACTCCGGACTTAAAGGGCTCGACGCGGGGACGTTCAGGAGGGAGGGAGGTGGAGGTGTCAGCCTCCTGATGCACGATCCGGTGAGCAGGACTGAGATTTCTGGAAAAAAACAACAACTAATTATCAGCTGAGGCAATAAAACTACTAAATATTTTCAGATTAAAAACGTTGGAGATGTTAAAAACAGCAACCTTATTGTGCCTTCACAGATGTGGCACATCTGTGAAGGCACAATAAGGTTGCTGTTTTTAACATCTCCACAGATGTGGCAGTAATGCACCCCCATACCATCAGAGAGGCTGGCTTTTGAACTTTGCGCTTATAATAAGGAGTCCTTGTCCTCTTTGAGGACACCACTTCCATGATGTCCAACAATTTGAAATGTGGACTGTGTTGTGTCACATCAGGATACGTTGTCTGATCATCATGTGATGAAGCTGATGATTTACACCTGTAAAGGACCAGGTGTGTCCGTTAAGGAAATGCGCAAATTAGAATTTCGAAAATAAATTTGCTCAATGGAAACACGGCAATTTTGAAAAAAAAAATTACATTTTTCGACGAAATATTTTTGCGCTAGGACGAGGTGGTTTTTCGGCCGTATTGAAATTGATGTTTTTCGCAAAACTGCAATGGAAACACTTTTTTCACATCACAGGAGTCACGTGATCAACTGGTGAAAAAGACGAAGAAGACGATAACAGGAAGTAGAAATAGTAGTAATATCACAGAAGTAGTATTAAATAGTAAACTCGCCGACTACCATTTCCCAAAAACACAGCATACGTAGCCGCTCCCAAGTAGGGACTTGTCTCTGGAAAGCCTCGATAAAAGACGCCGACGTCTCCTCTGATGATGAGCGCTAGTGTCGTGGTAGCAACATGCTACAGCGGGTAAAATAAGTATTGAACACGTCACCATTTTTCTCAGTAAATATATTACTAGAGG